TCGTATTAATATATATAAGCAATTTGATGTATTTCTCCAGCAATGACGAAAACCATCATGATTTTTCTAACTCAATCTCTGAAATGTTGATACAGAAACGTGCGTATTTCTTTAGATAGTATATAAATCATTCACTGGCGAGAAAATAGCATTGACGTTTTTTTCATAGGCATACTTTGACAGTATAATCATTCTTTTTCATCTCTGACTTTTTGAAAATGATTCCTTTGAGGATGATCCATTGTCTTATATATATTAATACGAAGACTATTCAGAGCTACTATCAATTGATTCGTATTCATTGTAACTTGCTTTGGCACTATCATTACATAGATTGTGCTTGTGGTTTAAAATTGTCTTGATCTGCTTCTGCATTGCCGACAAGAGGGATATGTTGTTCTGTTCGACATTATTGGCAACTGCATCAATGTAATATGGTGACGATGTTTGAGCTTGATGAGTTACGGTATTTGTTACTGTTATTTTATTGATGTTCTCCGAATCGCAATATGTTTTCAACTTGTGAAATTTTTCGACTTGCTTAATGCCACTAGTCATGTCGTCTCTGTTTGATCGCAGTGCTTTGAGGATGCTGATTAATGCTTGAAATGATAGTCGCTCATCTCTATCCTTTTTAAGATGCGGCGTGATAATTTTGGTGTAGTATTCCTGTGGACATTTTGTTGGCTTTTCATGCACATGACCTTGTCTGACTTTTTCAATGATTTCTTTGGAATTTTTCATGGTCGAATAAGGTTGACCGCCTTTGTTCCACATTTCAATAAGACAAATACCGAATGACCAAACATCGGCTTTACTCGTATAATTCATGGCTGTAAAGATTTTAGGTGCTGTCCACCTAAACTCTAATTTTCCTCGTGCTTTTTGCTGCGCATAAGGATCTTCCTCGACAATATCTGCCATTCCGAAGTCACTTATTTTTGCATATTGATCACGTAGGAGAACATTACGACAGACAAGATCTCTGTGAACATAATTGCGTCGCTCCAAATGAGCCATACCCAAGCACATCGGTAGAGCATAATTAATGAGCACGTCATTCGATGGCATTATGGGTTGTTCTTCTAACCATTTTTTAAGATCACCATTGTTCATAAATTCTGTTATTAGTAATTTATGATTTGTCATCGGATCTAATGTGATTTCATAAAGTGAAACAAGAAAGCGATGACGTAGAATTTTCATTGCACGAATTTCTTGAGCGAATGCATTCGATTCTTCATCACGCAATTTCAAATTTTTTATAGCTACATCACTTGGCTGAACTACACCTTTTCTTTTCCATAGACCACGCTTGACTTCACCAAATTGACCCATTCCAATTTTGATGCCGATTCGTAATTGATTGTAGTCAATTTGCCACATCTCACTTTCATTTATCTGAAAATCCTGATCAATTGGTGTCGACAATGGAATAAATTCTAGAAGGCTTTCATCATGAACCAATGAGCGAAATGTGGGGAAAAAGCGATTACGCAATTTTTTCTCATGTTCTATGTCGAAGCAGTTGTTTTGTTTGTTAATGCGAATCAAATAATGAGATAAAAGTGTTTCTTTTAATTTGGATGGCTGATTGACACTTAACCCTTTACCCCCCCATAGCGGTTCCAGAAGAGCCACCGATGAAATAACTTTATGAATAGAGTATTAGCCTGTCAAATATGCCAATGGTGTGGCCTAACCGACCGAATGCCCNAGAAAAAAAAAAAGAGAAAAAAGGGTTTTGTTTTTTATGGAGCGCTGGTTGACCCTTAAAACCCCCCCCCCCCCCCCCCTCAAAAATCGATCTCAGCCCAGAAACGTTCAAATGAGCTGAAATTTGGAGCATATGTTGGGACTGAAGTGGGAAGACTGTGGTAAAATTTTCAGCTCGATATCCCGACGTTTGACAGAGATATGAACCAAAACAAGGGTCAAAAATAGCTCATTTTCGTTCCAAGATTTCTCGCTCCGGGCTCTGTCAACATATTTAAATTTTGTTTTGTTTGAAAGAGTATCTCAGGATGCAGGGCAATATAGAGTCCTTTTTTTTAAAA